CTCCATCAGGGTGTGGTCCCCTGGCATACATAGAGCTTGTCATAATGAGAAACAAGCCATGCAGTGAATGCGGTTTCTGGTGAGTGGGATAGAGGGACTTACGTTCCTGGGGCAGACTGCCGTGACTCCTCACAGCTCCATCCCCCCTAACGATACAGGATGCTGTTGGCCTCGCAGACACCCGTCCACTCTCATACCCAACCTCACATAAACACCTCCATCAGGAGATGCCCAGTGTCTGCGTGATCCCCCTGCCTTAGGTTGCCTCCTATTTGGCCAAAGAAGGTCTTACCCGTCATCGAGATGACCACTCGTGCACACATGGTAACCGCCATTTTCTCAAAACCGTTTTCTTCAACAAAATCTGTTGTTTCTGGAGCTTAGGAAAAATATTCAAGAGTCACCAGGGCCATTCGGACTGCCTAATAGTTGTAACACAGGGAGACAGGTTAATAACAACAGTATTCAAGCACTTAAATCCATTAACCATCTTAAAAGCAGCAACTAGCTACTCAGTGGATTTAGATCACAACCGTACATTCAGTGTACTTCATCTGTAGGCGGAGCCATCAGCCCCGCCCCCGTTTCATGGTGGGGACTAAGATTTTCAGACAAATAAGTTATTGGTTCACAAACAACCTAGTCAAAGATGTATCTTCGTTTCGTCTATTATTATTTTAATGACTTCTTGAAAGTCCTTCAGTTTTACTTTTAAAACATTTAAAATACAAATTGCCTCTGAATGGCAATGATTTCTCTTAACATCTCTGTGTCTATGATCTTCAACTGAAAAACTGTGTTTTAATACAAATAGCTTATTATCACTAATGACACAGGCTCAGATAACATCTTTAGCTGACATTGAATGAGAGAGAGACTGTGAGGTATTCAGGACTGGTACTGCGCGCTCATAAACTTCTAACATCAAACATTATATTCTATTCCAGCTTAAGGCATCTTTGCCAGAAATTACATACGGTTTCAAATAAACATTATTTACATTTGTCTTTTGCCCACATCAGGGAATTAAAGCATTACTAATTTCCTCTCAGATTGAGTCTCTGTTGCACTGGCAGTTTTCAGCCACAGTACACATCAGATTCAGATAAGCAAACTGTTTCATTACAGCCCAAAACAAACTTATCTTTTGAAAGCTAAACATCAGCTTCTAGTTCTTTCATGGTCAACTTCTCAAGTTGTTTGTTTAATCAACATTCAACAACTGTCAATAAAGTACTGCTTCTGCTTATTTGTTTTTTAAAATAAAAATAATTATTCTTGTTCTCAATAACGTTTCTCATTTCTCAATCTCAATTTCAATCGTCGAGTTCAACCATAGTTTAATATTTGACTTAAGTTTTCTCTTGGAGTTTATCAATCTCCAATTAGGATTCACACTAACTTTGACGAGGCAAGCACTCTCTGCTTGTGATACTTTTACAGTTATTGTAAATCATCTGTGCGATTAGTCTCTCTATATCATCTAAAACCTTTTTAAAATGTTTAATTAAAACACAATCATCCTATTAGTTACTTTGATATATTTTGCAACTTACATTTGTTGGAGTCATTCATTTTACATCAAACTGTATTTCATTATTTCACTTATACAAATTACTATTATAGATCTTTTCTTCAAAAGGATTCACTTTAAAACTTCAATCTCTTGACCTAGTTTTTATCTCTTATTTCTCAGATGAAAAATGTTAATGTAGTCATTTAAACACGGATCTACTTCCAAACCCACATTAATACCAGAAATGTGTTGTCTGTCACATTTTAAAACACATTCTCGGTGGGCATTTATAGTTACGCGTTAAATGATCCTGCTGACCACAATTAAAACACTCTCTATCTGCTCCAACTTATTGCACACTCTTGAAGCAGTGTGTCCCATTCAGGAATGCACACAGAGCCACTGATAAGCAGTTCTCTTATTCTTTTACAGTCCGCCAGTGGCGGATTTAATCACAATAGCCCAATCATAATCTTCATCATTATTATTGACAGAACATTAATTTTCAGAAGCTGCATCGAAATGCTCAAAATATTTCTAAGTTGTTTTCACAAAGTTTCAGTTTAACTTTATTCACTTGCTTAGGGAAATTATTCCCGCCCCAGAATTTATTCTACTTGCTTTTTGTAATGATCATTAGCAATAAGAGGCTAAACAATTTCATCTTTCAGTTTCTTTATAACCAGTCAAGTTGTCGTTTAAATTTCCAATCAGACTCAAAACCCTGACTACCATTTACTTAATAATTTCTGCAAATTTCTTCAAAGTGAGGGCTTCAGAGCACAGCTGTTTACAGCATTTGCTCTCTTCTGTCGCACTATTTGTTTAAGGACTGTTCAGATTACTGATTAAGTTATCCAATTTTTCTGCCATATCTTAATCATAGTTCATACTCACCTGAAGTTATTGCAGAAATGGAGGCGGCAATCTTTGAACAACTCAGCTTGGCTTCTGCGTGATGAAACTGCAAAGTATACTGCAAAATCACAGTTACATATACTGGTCCACGCCAATTTGGGTCCCAACTTTTTATTTATTTTTCCCCCCCCGGAATCGTTCCTGATGCATCCCTGGCAAACAACCCTGTTTTTTGTTAGTATCCCTAACTGCCTAATCCACTAAATTCGGGGTACCCCTATCTGAGATGGAAGAGATAGAGTAGGTTCGCGGTGCCCTGGAACTTAAACCCATTCCAGGGACGTACTTTGCTGGGGTGTTGCTACACCAACAATGCCCAGGCCCAGTGGGGCCCCCACAAAGCACGCTTCACTTGCGCTGTCTGCTCTTGTTAACTTTAAACCTTAAACAATGCTATCAGCGACTTCATTTTATACTTTAAACTTTAGTATAATTAACTTCTTCACTCGCTCATCGGAGTGAAGACTCTCCCGACCTCCTTCAAAATCTCTTCCAGTCAGACAGCCCTAACAATTAACAAAAGCTTACTACCTTGTTTGTTGATTTGCCAGGGGTGTCACCGAGAATAATTGCCCACGCATTCTCCACCAAACTGTTAGGGGTTAACAGTTAAAAGACCCAGAACCAGATATGAAGAATGAAGACCCGGAGTCGGAATTTATAAAAATTAAAGAAAGTTTTACTGAACATAGTTTGCCATTTCATCAGCAGAAGTCAGCTTCAAGACTCCCTCAGGAGTTCGTAGGCCGCCCCCTTACAGTTACAAAGATCACAGCAGTTATACCATTTTCAAGGTCTAAGCTACGTCATTGCTTACACGTTGAATGATTCTCATTGGCTACGATATAGATAAACACAGTAATTTTCCACACATATACAGATAGACGAAACATATCTCCATCGATGAGGCACGTCATGACCTTCCAGGTCACAGATTTGGGTTGCTGGCGCCAGTGTGTCCAGAACAACAACTCATTCAATCTCCAATAATAGCAGTGGTTCCTTAACCTGCAACTAAGAAGACTAACACTAAACTTTAGTCTAACTGGAGTAAGACTTTAACAAAGAAATAGTGCCTTAAACTGTTGGCTTCAATGACCCCTTTATGTTTTAACACTCAAACATAAACCAAATCCCTATTTCCCTAATATTTTCACTGTTACTGCATTCACATAGGACACTAGCAAATAGAAGCTCCCATCAAGGCTGAAGAGAGTCTGAGCGGCTTATTATCAGTTAAGTGTACCAAAACATAATGGTAAAACATTCGCTCGTTTGGGAGAAAAACAGATAACATTTGCTTCTCAGAAAGCAAATATAATAGAAAGAATACAGTTTAATATAACAATTAAAGTTCAATAAAGCAATGCTCAATATAGCTTGACCATCTGTACAGAGAAGTATCATATGTGTTGTTCACGACGCCTTTATGATCCATAAACCTTTCTCCTGAGACCAGAGAAAGAGACAAATGGCCTTGTGCACCTAAAAGAAGCTGGTGACTTGTGCATGTACATCAGCATGCATTTAAGAATATTATTTCACAAGCAAAAGCACAAAGAATACATTTATGTCAATAAATGATTAAGTAACAATAAACATACTTAATTATTGATTTTATAAAAGAAATACATAATCATTCAAAATGATATTATGAAATATATACTGAAGAGGCAAGGGATTTTGACCACCCCTTCAAAGGTCTTACGGGGTTGGTACAGCATGGGGGTGAGTAATTAATGACTTAATTTTCATTTTTGGGTGAACTAACCCTTTAATGTGAGAAGTGGAAAGTACCACATGTATGACATAAGTTCCATTTTTAAACATAAGCTAAATGTTTTGCTACCAAGGAAGTTGTAAGTCTCTCTGTGATGTTAAACTCAATCTTACTGTAGTACATTAGAGAAGCATAAAGGCATGATGGGATGAGAAGACAGAAATCTGTATTGACATCCTCTCATGTAGCCTTCTATATCTGTGTTTCTCTCTGTCTGACACATGATAAATATAAATATCTTTGATAAAGTCACTGGTGTTGCTTCCGTGATTCAATGATAATGGGGGAACAGGATTTATCAAATCTACCAAGACTATGATTTAAAACTTCAGCTTTTTATAATATATATTATATCTTGTGTTTCAGGCACCAGTGGAGTGGATGATGTGTTCATCAGTTCTGGTGTAAATGTCCGTCTGTCCTGTAATAAAACTCTTTCTGACTGCAAATCAACTACATGGATCTACTCTAACAGATTCAGACATTCAGCAGTAGTTGGACTGATTGAATTAGGGATAAAGAAGAAACACACAGAGAGACATGAGAGACTGAGTCTGGAGTCTGACTGCTCTCTGATCATCAAGAACGTCACAGAAGAAGATTATGGAGTTTACACCTGCCAACAATATGTGAACGGACAGAAACAAGGAATTGATGCACATGTTCTTCTGCATGTTCTTCGTGGTAAGTTTATGATTATATGGTCAATTTAAAAAGAGCAGATTCTTTATTAAACTCAGATGATGATTGAAGAGTCTGTGATTTGTGTCTTGTGTTCAGTTTCAGTGTCTCCATCATCATCATCATCTTCATCATCACAGACTGAGATCAGTCCAGGCCGCTCTGTGACTCTCTCCTGTCAGTTGTATTCATATATTGGATACTCCTGTGATGATTTGGTTCGTTCTGAGAGAGTTGAGCTGTTGTGGGTGAATCAGGCTGGTGTTGATCTGAAGACAGACTCCAGATATCAGATATCATCATCATCATCATCATCATCATCATCGTCATCATCAGATCCCTGTATCATCACTCTGACTACAACACTCCTGAATGAAGATAACAACAGAGAGTGGAGATGTCAGCTTACTCACAGAAATCAACTCCAGACCTCAGTCACATACACTGTCAAGTATTCAGGTAAGAAACACTGTTAGAAGACAAATTTGAGAAAACTTCCACAGACTGGCTCTACTCTTGATGATGACTTCATACGTTTGGATATTGTAAAATATTAGAGGACAGTAAGTCACACTGCATAAAAATCCTTATACATGGGTCATCCATGAAATATTGCGTAAATCTATTAAAGCCTAGTATGACCCATGTAGGAGGTCAGCTTTAGGAGTTATACGGCTTAATAATGTCCTTCATTCAGGAAAGCTGAAGGTTTATGGGAAGCAGCTCAACTGTGTTTCACTCTCATATAAACCAGGAATAAATGATCCAGTAACATCTCTCTTCTCAACTACTGCCACTGTAAGCTGTGATGATTGAACACAAACTGCATGTCATGATCAATGTGAAGATATGATGTTAATGTCCTACAGGTGATGTGTGTGAACATTCATCTTCTGCAGCTCCAGTCTCTTCATCAACACTGACTCCAGTCAGCAGATCAAACTCTGAGAAGACATCAAGCAGAACTACAGCAACAGCTCCTACACAAGGTTCATGATCACATGACCACTGGCACACATCATTACTCTCGCTTCAGTGGTTTGATCACACCACAGTAAAATCAGCCGGATAATTACATCAATTCAGTATTGAAACCTCAAAGGATATATTGTGTTCATGCATTAAAATATGACATATTTCTATTTCCATCTTGTTTTCTAATAGTTGTGACTACAACTACATCTACTACAGTAACAGCACGTCCCACAGAAACTGCTGGATTATTATACAGAGGTACGACACGTTGATTTAGACGGACAGCTTTCTAACATTACACTATCAGTCCGTCTGTAAATGCTTCATCAATAACTGTTGATAGATGAAGACCCTTGACTTCAGTCATGTCCAGTTTCTCTTCTTCCTCTCATGTTTCCTGCAGTGATTGTGAGTATTGTTGAGATGGCAGTGTTTGCTGCTCCTACTGTGATTCTTCTTCAGATCATCTGTGCAAGAAGAGCTGGTGAGTTTGAGCCGCACACACTCTGAAGATTCACACTCGTCTGATCTGAACATCTGCAATCATGATAAACACACACGAGAGGTCAGGCAATGCTTTATTTTGCAGGGAGGAAGGACTCGAGACACCCGGAGGAAATAGAGATGCCTGCAATACAACAATAAAATACAGAGTTTTGAGCGAATCTGCAACAATAATTATGATTGTATGATTGTTTGATTTATTTTCTTCCTTCTTGATCATCCTAAAGAAATATTTGGTTCAAGCTTAGATTAAAATTTATTTTTATTTTTATAAAACTCCAGATTTATTTCCATTAATATGAGTTTTATGGACATTTGCCTGTAGTGACGAAAGTCATTTTCTTGTGTTTCATATGTAAACTGCTTTAAAAATAACAATACGTTGAGTAATGGACAGAGGCAGACTGTAATATCAATGATCTGTTCGGTGTGATGGAGCTGATTTGGTGATTGTTTTTCTTTTTGAATTATTTCTACTTATTTTCTTAATAAAACCTCTGCATTTGTGTTTAATATGTCTCCTTTCCTGAAGATTTCTTTTCCTTGTGATGAGCTCGTAATATATTCTAATATAGGAAACTAAGTGTGAGTATTAAACTATACTGGGGCATAAGGACCCACACAGAGCGCTGGGTGAGCAGCGCCCCCTGCTGGCCTCACTCACAGCTCTTCCAATTTTCCCGGGAGTCTCCCATCAAGGTAATGAGACTTTAGCCGCGTTTCCACCTCAATTACCAGGAACTATTTGTCCCAGGAACGTTTTTCACAGGAACTTTTTTCCCCCAGACTGCTTGCTTACTGCGTTTACACCGCGTACTAGTACCGGTCCGGGGTGGGAAGATATGTAGTGACGTTGAACTGCGTGCGACTGCTCTTCCTAGCCTGCACGTTTGTTTCGAGTTTTGTGCGGAGGAGATTCAAGCTTTGCTGCTTTTGTGTGCGATTGGTTTACCAACGAGGTAATTAACAAAACGGCAGAAAAGAGACGAGCACCCAAAGCGTATTCAGAAAGCTCGTAATGCTAGATATAAAAGTAGACGTTTGTTATCAGCGGAGATGGATGAGACGAACGCGCGCGCCATCGGGCAGAAAAAATATTGTTGTAAGAACCAATCAGCATGTTCAGCGTACAAGTCCCACCCCGAAAGTTCCTGAACTTTGAAAAAGTACTACCTTGCCAGCAGGGACTTTCTAGGGGGGACATTTTTACCCGGAACTTCATTTAGACCCTGGTTCCTGCGGTGTAAACACACCGAGTACAACCCCAAAGTTCCTAGTTCCTGGGGAAAGTTCCTGCGGTGGAAACGCGGCTTTTGTTTCTCAGCACATAAAATCCCCAATATTAAATCAACACTGAAAAGTGAGAATTATATCTCTGAACAGAGTGTTAAATGAACACTGAAGCAGTGTTAAAGTTAAAGAGATAATTAAGTGAATAATTGAGTGATGATTGAGCATTATTGAAGACACCTGACGTTAACAAGCAGAATCTCTGAAGGAGCAAACCGGGATTTTTATGTTACCATTATGGTGATCAGTGTTTGCTTTAGTTGGGCTCTTGATTCATTATCTTTAGTTTTTTGTTTGGCTGCTGTACCTGAGTTATAACAGCCAGACGAACAAAAGAAGAGGTTGTTTGATGGTGTTTTGTTGTGTTTACACACGTGTTTAAAAGCATGTGTACACAATATTTTAAACAAGAGTAAAATCATGTAATCACACACAGATATCAAAATTTTAAATATGATTCATAACAATGGTGACAACCAAAGCAAAAAAGCTTGGGAATCAAGGATGTTTTGTACTATGAAAGCTTGTTTTTTAAATGTACTGTCACCATTGTTGTGAATCATACGCAAAATCTTAATGTCTGTGTGACCCCTCCATGGTTTAGTTTTTTTTATAGAAAGCAGAGATTTGAGGCAGGCAATCTTTTTATAATAATTATAAGTAATTTTATTATATTTAGTTTCTCAATGTTTCCACAAAAAGTAAGCAGTTGGAGTCAGTTCACCAGTTCCACCAGCAGGAGTCAGGCTTGGATCATCAAACAATGGAGAGGCTTCTGACATAAACATGAATACTGTACTTTTATAATGCATATTACATATCACACCTCTTCATTACATATTCAATCAGACTGATCTCATTAAGTAGCGTGTATGACACGCCAATTCGTATTTCCATTTTTGGCGTGCTATCAAGACGCATAATCGCTTTTCAGCGTGTTTATGAACGCCGTTGACTTAACATTTTTACTGTATATACTGTATAAATATATGACTTACCTCAACCCCGTCCCTAAACCTAACTGTCACTGGGGTTAATTGCATTTATGACTGTTCCCTTACCATCCTAGGAAAAAAAAGATCGCTCCCCAGATGTAGATCTACATTTTGCTTCATTTCGCTCAGACATTTGATGGCGTGTTCAGACACGCGGACATTAATGCGTAGAGATAACACGCCACTTGAGTCGAAAGTGGTGTGTATGTTTACACAAAAGTCATAATGTCATGTTGCGATTATCATGAAAACAAATCTCAGAGAACAGTTGACTAGGTACCAATGTTTTATTAGACCAAAGGTTAATTTTGCACCGGAGTTCTCCTTTAAAGCCGGAGCAAGAACAATGTTTGCCAAGTTTTGTTGGTGGCCATGATGTTGTGGCCCTCCTCCCCACGGGTTCGGGAAAAGTTTGATTTTCCAGCTCACTCCGCTAGAGGTGAATGAGTTAGCATGACCACACGTTAGCGATGGCTATGGCAAATCCAATCGTTTTGAACTTTAACAGAGAACCCGCCTACAAGGAAGTAAACATTTCTCAATGGAGAGAGGCCAGACTCTCTGTACAAATGAAATGTACGAGAGTCGGGTAGAACCCGGCTAGTAGTAAGTGTCCTTGTGTATTGGAAGTTTATCTCTATAGTCTTTGACCAAATGGCTAGTGCCGTCTGGTCTCCTGTGCTGTCTTTGAGAGTTGCTGTGCCGTACCAAGCTCACGTGGAAACAACTGGAACCTTTTCCGAAGTTGGAAAAGCAGCTTTTGTTTCTCAGCACATAAAGATGAACTACTTACTGTGATCTCAGAATGTGTTAATGTGGTTTCTCCAATGCATGGATCTTCATGTGAAAAAAACTACAAAGTTTGCTAGGACAAAAAGACCGTTATTAATCGCGCGATAAAAAAAATTAACACCGTTAAAATGGGTTTGCGTTAACGCCGTTAATAACGCGTTAAACTGACAGCCCTACTTACTACAGTAGGCTATTCCATCTGTCGCTCCTCGAAATACCAGCACTTCTGAGGTACATTTTTATTATTACAATAGTATTATTTCTCACAGCGCCGCGAGACGGTGTAAACAAATACAATGATCTGATTAAACTTGGTGTGTTTTCTCGAGCTGATATGGGGGCGTTCACAGTTTGCATGGATTGCCTCAGATCATTTGCGGTTGTATAGCGCACACTCTACGTGGGCGGGGCCACATTAAAAATAATTAGCTGAGAACAATTGACATCTCTCTTTTCATACAGATTACATAAACAGAAAATATTTGATTTAGTTTTTAATTAGATCATTTAAAAGTACACACTTAAATGATTATAAAGATATATTGCTCATGCCTGGGTGAACAGTATTCGCTGAGTTTTGTTTAAGTTTAGAGACGTGCTCCAAAAAAAAAAAAGTTCACCGAGATGCAAAGGCAGAAATCATTTTCTTTACTTGTTTATTTTCTTTATTTTACAAAAACACAATGTTTCTATTGCTTGTAAGTGGGCACATGAAAGACATTTAACAGTTTATTTTTTCATATTTCTTAAAGAGTAACTAAACCCTAAACCAACTTTTTTTAGTTAAGGATCTGTAAGAATGGATTTTTATTAATACCAGTCATTGATTTGACATTTGTGTATGAAAAGTTTTATTTCTACAACATGGTGTAAAAAACGTCTTAGTGCTGCCCACTTCAGGTTGAACTGTGGCTACTGCAGTTGAATTTTCCTATTGGATGTTCCACACTTCGTGATATATGCAGATTTCTGCTCACCACGCTCTTGGTATGAGCTACACCTTGGCAGTATAAAAACCAGCTTGTTTCGTCAAAACCACTGTAGGGAGTCAGGAATTGGAATTGTGAGTATTGAAAACGACCAGGATAGAGTGTTTTAGCATCTATTTCGTCCCCTCTATCTCCGCTGGGATCTGCCCACTTTTTCAGCATTTTTCAAATATTGCCAGTGGGTGGAGTCAAGTTCTGACCAGGGGTTTAGTTACCCTTTAAGTCTCCATGACCATAAATGACAGAGTATTTTAAGTTTATTTTGCTGCTATGTGTAAAAAATAAATAAAAAAATCGAGCAAAACGCGGGGGCAATTCCAGGCAATTCCATAGGGTTAAAGGTCCTATCAGTTGAAACCCTTTTGGTAAGGTGACCAATCATAGATGACAGGGAGAAAGTCTTATCTTGTTCCATCTTATCTCCATTTGCATGTTCATGGTGGCATGAAGAATTTGTGCAGTCTTTACAGAAAATTATGGTAAAAATATCATGATGCAATTCATCATAACATATTGTCCACCATTGATTATAAAATCAAAAGAAGATACTTTTGATACCAAGAATCAACATTTGAAGTTACTCTAACATAACTAAAGAATCATAACTAGGCTAATTAAACATAAGGACATACATAAAACACAGGAGAAATACTATAAACATTTGAGTTTGTCAGTATGAATGTGGCAAGTCAGCTTGGCTGCGCCCGTCTACGCACTTCCGCTCAATTTCATTTTCTTTCAGTACTACGTCTGGGTCTGCTATATATTCTATATTCTAATCAATTTTTTGTAGGACCAATCAGTGAACAGAGGGAGTGGCTGAGAACGATGACGTTGATGTAGTGCGTCAGTTTGAGTTCAGTAACGGCAGCGGAGTAAGACGTGAGAAAAGCTATTCGGTCCGTTTGTTGTAAAACTGCCGAATATACAAAAGTTAAAGCCAGAGCAAGAACAATGTTTGCTCAGTTTTGTTGGTGGCCATGATGTTGTGGCCCTCCTCCCCACGGGGTTCGGGAAAAGTTTGATTTTCCAGCTCACTCCGCTAGTGGTGAATGAATTAGCACGACCACACGTTAGCGATTGGCTATGGCAGGTCCTGAGTGATTCTGGGCAGATCCAATCGTTTTGAACTTTAACAGAGAACCCGCCTACAAGGAAGTAAACATTTCTCAATGGAGAGAGGCCAGACTCTGGGTGCTTCTCATTTCTTATTTGTGCATCCTCGTTTCCTTTCCTTGCTTGCTTTCCTTGTGTCTCAGCTCGACCCCCGGTAGGACACGAGGGAAGGAAGCGAGGAAAGGAAAGGAGGACAGAGGAATCGAATAAAAGCTTTTTTATATACATTGGAACACTTGATCACTCGAGTGTCACTCCACAGTGTCATCAGCAGCGCTAAAAGGATCTGCCCTTATGATGTTGAAGTTTGGTTATTTAATAAATTCATAATAAATAATAATAAAGAGAGTGTGAGATGTGTAGTTTATATAAATTGCCAAGGTAAAGTATAAATTAAAATGATTGTGACCGATGTGAAGGGGGAGGAGAATTGACACGTTTAGTCAATATAACAGTTCCGCGTAGGATGCACCTGTGTATCCTCGCTTATGACTCCTCAGAAAGCCTCCTCACTCCTCACGGTGCAATTAAAGAATTGAGATGTCCTTCAAGATGGCTGAGCTCGATCGGTTTCCGGGTCATAGGAGGGAGGACGGAGGAGCGAGGAGACGAGGAGGGATATTGAGAAGCACCCTCTATGTACAAATGAAATGTATGAGAGTCGGGTAGAACCAGGCTAGTAGTAAGTGTCATTTTGTATTCGAAGTTGATCTCTATAGTCTTGGACCAAATGGCTAGTGCCGTCTGGTCTCCTGTGCTGTCTTTAAGAGTTGCTGTGCCGTACCAGGCTCACATGGAAACAACTGGAACCTTTTCCGAAGATGGAAAAGCAGCTTTTGTTTCTCAGCACATAAAGATGAACTACCTACTCTGATCTCAGAATGTGTTAATGTGGTTTCTCCAATGCATGGATCTTCATGTGTCGTTTCAGGCGAGTTTTAAAAGAGAAACTCTTTCCACACTGATCACACGTGTGCAGCTTCTCTCTGCTGTGGATCTTCTCATGTGTTTTCAGAGTTGCTGACAGATTGAATCTCTTGTCACAGTGTGAACACTTGTAAGGTTTTTCTCCAGTGTGGATCTTCTCATGTGTTTTCAGATTTGCTGTCTGACTGAATGTTTTGTCACAGTGTGAACACTTGTAAGGTTTTTCTCCAGTGTGGATCCTCTCATGTGTTTTCAGAGATGATGTCCAACTGAATCTCTTGTCACAGTGTGAACACTTGTAAGGTTTTTCTCCAGTGTGAATTCTCTCATGTGTTTTCAGATGTGCTGACTGACTGAATCTCTTGTCACAGTGTGAACACATGTAAGGTTTTTCTCCAGTGTGAATTCTCTGGTGGTGTTCTAAAACTGTCCCTGTTGCAAAAGTCTTCTCACACTGAAAGCACATGTACTCTCTCATAGCAATGTGTATTTTCTCATGTCTTTGTAAACAATAGAGCTGTGAAAAACTCTTTCCACACACAGAACATGAGTGTGGCTTCCCCTTCATATGAATTGTCAGGTGTTTCTTCAGGTTTGATGAACCAAAAAATGCTTTGCCACACTGATCACACATGAACGGCTTCTCTCCGGTGTGGATCCTCATGTGAGCATTAAGGTGACTTGATTGACTGAAACTATTCCCACATTGTTTGCATGTGAACGGCTTCTTTCCACTGTGAACTCTCATGTGAATCTCAAGTGTATCTTTGCTTGTGAAACTCTTTCCACACTGAGAGCAGGTAAAAGATTTCTTGTATTTTCTTTTCTTTAAAAGTATCTTTTTAGTCTTTGAGCGACTCAAAGGTTTTTTTCCAGGTTTGACATGATGTTCCTCCTCCACTTCTCTCAGTTCTTCTCTCTCCTCCTTCACTACACTCAGTTCTTCTTTCTCCTCCTTCACTACACTCAGTTCTTCTCTCTCCTCCTTCACTTCTCTTAGTTCTTCTCTCTCCTCCTTCACTACACTCAGTTCTTCTTTCTCCTCCTTCACTACACTCAGTTCTTCTCTCTCCTCCTTCACTTCACTCAGTTCTTCTCTCTCCTCCTTCACTTCACTCAGTTCTTCTCTCTCCTCCTTCACTTCTCTCAGTTCTTCTCTCTCCTCCTTCACTTCAATCAGTTCTCTCTCCTCCACTTCACTCAGTTCTTCTCTCTCCTCCTTGACTTCTCTCAGTTCTTTTCTCTCCTTCTTCACTTCTCTCAGTTCTTCTCTCTCCTCCTCCACTTCTCTCAGTTCTTCACTCTCCTCGTTTTCTTCCATCGGGTCTGAAATGAAAGAAAAACTCTCATTTTTAAATATTCTAAATAATAAAAATAATTCAAAGAGAGAAATATGAATGGATATAAAAATGACAGACAACTGCTATAAAACACTAAAATAATTTGTGTTTTTATAAATTAATTATAAGTCCCTGAAACTTTCCATGAATGAGGAACACTGATCGTCTCGTTAGGGATGTAACCCTCTTTCCCTGAGTAGGGAACGGAGACGTTACGTCGGATGACAGAGAATGGGGGTTTCTCATAGAAGTCAATTCTCTTCGAGTATTCAAAAATGAGCCAATGGCATGAAAATGCCTTGGGTCTGCGGAATTTGCAGAGCATATCTCCGCCCCACCTCGTGGGTATAAAAGGAGGAAGCAGAAGCAACCGCAGTATGTCTTCGCTGAGGAACCGAGACTGAACTCAGGCGTCTACCCAGCGGTACAGCGGAAGATGTAACGTCTCCGTTCCCTACTCAGGGAACGAGGGCTACATCCGTAACCGAGACGTTCCCTTTCCACTCCGAGTTACGTCGGATGACGGAGAATGGGGGTCCCGTGCCATCGCGCCACCTTCATAGCTGTATTCCAGTGCCCTGCGAAAGTCTGAACTCCTGTCTAACTTAGCACGGACAAGGAGTACTACTTCAACACAGGAATACCAAGTTACACTGGGGAGCATATCGGGAGGAATATGCCGCAGTACGCCTACCCGTAGGGAGGACTTAAGAATACACATATGGCCCAAGGGGACTTCATATGGAGGAACACTGGAGTCACCAACCTAAGGGTGGCTAGAACTTAACTCCAGGAGTGGCACGGTGGCTTGCCGAGGGAAGACACATGCTCAGAGAGGCTTACAGTGGAGAGTACACATGTGACCGTTACTAGGGGAACCATACACACGGAGGCACTTAGTCGACGTCCAGAGCAACAGACACTGGCGCCAGCATCAACAGTGCTGGAGGACTCAGGGCTTCAACAGAAGGCTCAGCTGAGGAAAATATCGCACTTACCCAGTCCGAGGAGTGGAATGGCAAGCAAGCGAAGACACCTGCGTGGGTCCAGTACCGGCCGATTGAGCGAGTACGTGAGAGGACACAGGCTCCACTAGAAGATTATAGAATCTCGCGAATGTGTTAGGTGTCGCCCAGCCTGCAGCTCTGCAGATGTCTGCTAGCGAGGCGCCATGCGCTAGACCCCAAGAGGAAGCCACACTCTGAGTGGAGTGGGCCGTCACACCGAGGGGGCACGGTCGGCCTTGCTGCTGGTAAGCCAAAGCAATGGCGTCCACTATCCAGTGGGACAGCCGCTGCTTTGAGAGAGCCCTTCCCTTCTGGCTCCCACCATAACAGACAAAGAGCTGGTCTGAGGTCCTGAAACACGGCGTTCTGTCTACGTGAGCACGGAGTGCACGTACTGGACAGAGCAGTGCCAAGGCTGGGTCTGCCTCCTCCAGGGGCAGCGCTTGCAGGTTCACCACCTGGTCCCGGAAGGGAGTGGTAGGAACTTTGAGCACATATCCAGGCCGGGGTCTCAGGATCACGTGAGAGTACGCCGGCCCGAATTCCAGGCACGCTTCGTCAACGGAGAATGCGTGCAGGTCCCCTACCCTCTTGATAGAGGCCAGTGCAACCAGGAGCGCTGTCTTCATAGACAGGAACTTAATCTCTACTGATTGCAGAGGCTCAAAGGGAGGCCTCTGCAGGCCACTTAAAACCACTGAGAGGTTCCAAGAGGGTACGAGAGGAGGGCGAGGAGGATTCAGTCTCTTCGCTCCCCTCAGGAACCTGATCAGGTCATGCTTTCCCAACGACTTACCTTCAACTGCTTCATGAAATGCGGCAATAGCAGCCACATAAACTTTAAGGGGGGAGGGAGACCGCCTTCGCTCCAACCCTTCTAGCAGGAAGGAAAGCACAACGCTGTTTGGGCATCTCCGGGGGTCTTCTCGTCAAGAAGAGCACCAGTTGCCGAAGAGGTTCCACTTCAACGCAAAGACGTGTCTAGTGGACGACGCTCTAGCGGAAGTGATGGTAGCCACCACCACAGGTGGCAGGGCACTCAAACCTGCCTCGTCCCATCCAGACGCCACACGTGTAGTCTCCACAGCTCGGGACGAGGGTGCCACAGTGTGCCCGTCTCTGAAAGAGGAGGCTCGTCCTCAGAGGAATTGGCCAAGGAGGTGCTGTCACGAGGAGCATCAGTTCGGAGAACCAAGTCTTGGTGGGCCAATAAGGGGCTACCAACAAGACCTGCTCCTCCTCCTCCTTGAACTTGCACAGAGTCTGTGCGAGGAGGCCCACTAGGGGAAACGCATACTTGTGTAGACCCCCCGGCCAGCTGTGCGCCAAGGCGTCTGTGCCGAGCGTGCCCTCGAACAGAGAGTAATACAGGGCGCAATGGGATGAGTCCTGGGAAGCAAACAGATCTATCTGTGCCTCCCCGAACTGGTCCCAAATCAGCTGGACCGACTGGGGATGAAGTCGTCATTCGCCAGAGACTGAACGGAGCTGTGACAGCTCATCGGCTACCAGGTTCCGATATCCTGTAATGTAAATAGCATGACTCTCACAGTAAGATCATTGAGTCTCGATCTCAGTGTTGCGATGGTCATGTTCCCACAGAAGGAACATGACTCATCCACGAACGCTGCTCGTGCATGCTCAACGCCCAGACACACAAAATAGCGCTCGTGCCCATCACAGGAAGACAGGAATCGACTGCAACCAGAAGAACACGGGCGAGACATCTTTAAAAAGACGTGCCACGTGCAGCTCTTTCAGAATGAGAGGAGGAAATTCACTCTTTCAGCGCTGAGGCGACCAGGGAGAAGCGCAAAGTCTGGCAGACCACTGCACAGATCGCAGGCAATGCAGAATCTTGCTGGGTACCGCCGTTACACCAAAGCTGGAGAGGACGCTCGTCTCGAAGAGTTGAACTCAGTCTCAAAATGGCTTGTGGAGTGAAGAAGTCTCTTGGCTCCGAAGCGAAAACATACTGCAGTTGCGTCTGCTTCCTCCTTTTATACCCACGAGGTGGGGCGGAGATACGCTATGCAAATTCCGCAGACCCAAGGCATTTTCATGCCATTGGCTTGTTTTTGAATACTCAAAGAGGATTGGCTTCTATGCGAAACCCCCATTCTCCGTCATCTGACGTAACTCAGAGTGACTACGAAAGGGAAATTCAAGTTTTAAAACATTATAGGCACAAATGCCATGTTTCTGTTGTGAGAACTATTAAATATGTTGGATCAATCACACAGTTATCTAATGGGATATGAACATTAAAATACTGGCATATTTTGACACCAACATTGAAATTTAAATACATTACAAGCTACTAAAATGACAATTAATATGAAACTTCACTTTACTGACCATTTTTGTAAAAAAAAAACAAAAACTTTTGCTGCCATTTCACAGTTGAACTTCTAAAAGTGATGAATGCTTGAATGTTTCTAACATGAATGTTCTTCAGCATCATGAATGAATGAAGAATAAACACAAACCTCTTTGTTCTTCAGGATCTTCAGTGTGTTTCATTCTGCAGGGTTCTGGATCACTCATGTTCTCACTGTCCTCTTTAATAAACTCAGTCTTTACAGATTTCAGCTCTTCCTGAGGCATTCATGCTGGTCTTCCCTTGTAGCTGATGGGAATATTCCAGCATTTATTGGAGAATGGCAGTGGTAGGAGCTTCACTGATGATGAATTGCAATGGGAGGAGCTTCTCTGATGATGAATTGCAGTGGGAGGAGCTTCAATGATGATGAGATCTGCCAAAATATCAAATAAGTTACTGAGTTTGTTTTTTTAGCTCATGGACAACAGATTAAAATAATGTAAAAAGCAGTTAAAAATCATAAAAAAAATAAACATAGGCTACAGATAGTAACCAACAAATACTCTCAGCTTATTTACACCAATGAAATAGTACTTTACAGGAGATCTGAAGACATCAGCATAATAAATGATGTGAAAACAGGAACTATTGTCATGAAATTATTGTTGATCCTTATTGTTGATATTGATGATCCTCAGACTATCAACACTCATTCTACAAGCCATTCAGGATCATGAGCAGATCATCTCACTTTATTCTGAGTGTTTGCTGTTAGAAACACATATTTGAGTCAGGATACATCATAAAAGCCTGTAAATCTGCTCTACTGAAAGAAAATACAGTTAATTTTCACAATATAACATGGATAAATCATCAATAATATAACAAAATATTTCAATAAATAATCTATCTTTACGAACCTCTACAGTCAAATAACTAGTCTACAACACCATAATATGTTAATCTAAATATATTTTGACTTTAAAATAACTATTAATTGCAATAAAGTAATTCTATCACTAACATGTTACTGATTTGGATGTACAGAAACGAACAATGATGATAAAACTCAAAACAAAAAAATAACTCTTACGTTTCCAGTCACATTTCATTGATATTGGTTTGTCAAGATGAGAAATTTGAAAATATTGTAAAAACTTGTTTTAAAAGCATGCATCAGGTATGTTAAAATAGTGTATTTGTATTAGCATTTATGTAATTAAAATGACATTTGCAACATTTTCTACTAAAGTTATACAAAAATAGATTTTATGTAGTTTTTAATGTGGTTTTGCAATATTTGGCAGTATTTTATAAAAAAAAATGTTAACCATATTACACTAAACTAGATTAAATATTATTCCACATTAAATTTCTTGTGTAGAATTATATTTTTATGAAAAATACTTGTTACACCAATCAGCGTTGGGAACATTAAGTAATTCTCTCAAAAGCTGTATTAAAACCAGATATTTTAGACTTGGTCCTTAAAAAAGGGCATCTATGCAAGTAATTTGCCATTTTATATTGAAATGTTAACCCTTTTATATGTTTTAAACTATATGGACACATACACAAAAAGTCATTGACCAATTTTACATAGACATACATTTTAAAGTAATTTTAAGTAAATGTATTCTGCCAAATATAAATGCAGATAAAGAAATAAAGGTAAATATTAAAATGGCAACAGCAACACTTGAGATAAATAACACAAACGAACACACACTCGCTCAGGTCTGAATGAACTCCACATATTCTCCTCAGACTCGCTGCTGCTGCACTAAATGTTTATTTCAGGAGGAAGACGCCAGAAAAGACGCAAAAGTATCGCTGTGATCGATTAAAACAATACAGAAATGAGTCTGTCGCTTAATCAAACTGTATAAAGTGTGTGTGATGGGTGTGTATGAGAAATACCGTGAACTGCTCTCCTCACCTCACCTCAGAAGACTCGACGCTGAAACTCAATGAGGGAAAAGAGACTCTTCATGAGACGGCGCGAGCGGTGACGTCATCGGCATCCAACGCACGCGCGCAGGACATATCTTTTTCTTTCCGAGTTTTATGGTGGTGGGCAAACCAGCTAAAAGGTGCATTTACCGCCACCAATTGGACAGGAGTGTGAAGCGTCAACTGAGTGAAGCAATAATAATAAAAAAAAAAAATAATAATAATTATATTACACTATGTTAACTAATAATTTCCCACCTCATTAAAGCACTACAAACCATTTTCTCTTTCTGTGTATTTTGAAATATACTTTTTACTGACAATGTATTAATTATGAAGCCAGATCAGCCTCATTAATAATTCATGAAAAAAAAAAAATTATTCACACATGCTAGACAATTCCACATGCATGAAACCTAATTCATGTAGGCTACACACAAACAAAATTCACATGCGTGAAAAAAATATATATTTACAAAAATCCATTCGCATATGTGCAAAATAAAATTATACATTCATAAAATACATTTCCAAAACACACTTCATAGAAATACAACTGTGGAAAAAAACGTTGAATGTTTAAAATGTACGAGTTTATCGTTGAATGTGAATGTGCAAAAGTCATTCACGAACGAATAGTCTTGGATGTGTGTGTGTGTGTTTGAAACTCTCCTGGCAGCGCTCTCTCCTCCTGCACAGAGCAGTCGTACTCTTTAGCCAATCAGATTTAAGCTTTTCAATCGACCAATCAGTATCACGTGAGTGTGTGGGCCCTACCTGCATGTTACGTCATCAGCTTTTGACCACAGTTCATGACTTATCGGTTAATTTCTGTTTACTAAAGTTAAATAAATATAATCTTATAAATCTAAATATAATCAGACTACCATATTTTATTTTGAACCAAAAAAAGCATAATTCATTTTAGGAAAAGTGAGAAAAAATGCATTTTACTTAATTCTGCTTGAATAAAATGTAGCCTGTGTCATAATGAAACACCCCTCTCCTGAAAATGGTCTGAGAAGGCTATTTTATTTTTTATTTTTTTAAGTAACGTAACGTCAAATACGCCAGTGCTTCGCGCCAGTTTGAGGTCAGCAGCAAAGTGACATGAACAAAATAATTAGATTAATATTATAGTACATTTAGTTGATATGCTAGGGCCTGCTAATAAATCAGGGTGCCAAAAAAGAAAGGAGAAGAAGAAGAGGGAGCTGGCAAGGGCTTTAGACCCAAACAAAATTCAACTGACCACCTTTTTCCAGTCAGCTCAGAAAGCTGTCAGTGCTCCCAGTCAGGCTAACGATAGCCAGGAGGCTATTAGCGACAGAGTAGACTAGTGTTGCGCGGGTCAGCTTTTTTTCCAACCCGCAGGTCCCGCTTTTATGAAATTTCTTGGCCCGCCCCAACCCGCACCGCTGTCTTAACCATTAAATAGACATAGTAGCTACTAGGCGTTGTAATGTAAGTGAAAACAGCCTTTATTTCAGCCTGAAAGTGCTTGGAAACATCGCTCTGTAAACTGGCAACAACAGACGATTATGAATATATGAACCATAAATCAGGTCATATTAATAAACATTTTCAACATTTACAAAGCAGCATTTCTATTCATCTAATAGGCTAAACCATTTTTTATTTCTTAGACCACCCACAAATATGTCTTGACATGCTCGAAGTGGCCGTTTCGTGGCGCTACTGTTTGTATATTTTTCACACGAGTTGCACTTCAGGTAGCCGATACTACTGTTGTCTCCTGCTGAAACTCTGAGAACCGCTCCCAAACATTACCCTGACAGCAAACTGACATTGAATCAACGTGGAAACGACGTCTCTCATGACATTGAAACAACGTTGATTTTGCTCATCGAATTAACGTTGAACCAACGACAGACGCGGCATTCTTCAAAGCTAAATGAAAATCGAAAATTGGTTTGCATTCATAACGTTGAAACAACGCGTTGATTTCAAGTTGATTTTCCGTTAGTTTTGAAAGAATGACGCGTCTGACGTTGGTTCAACGTTAATTCGATGAGCAAAACAATGTCAGATCAACGTTGTTTCGATGTCATATTTCCACGTTGATTCAATGTCAGTTTGCTATCTGGGTAGATTTAGCAGCCTGACCTTTTTTTCTTCTAATCATGTATATTCCCGACCTCAATTTCTCCCGCACCTCGTCTTCCATCTTCACTTTTATTTCTCCGTTGTTGTTGTTGAGGCTGGCGGCGGGAGCTGCTTGGCGTGCTGCTTTCGTGACGTGTCACGTGACACCAAATGTTTGGGAACCTCACGCAAGTTACGTTGCTACAGCAATTGTATTGTAAGCTTAGCAAATAACCTTATAATATATGAAAATAGATATTCCCAAATATTTAATATAGGATGGAAATTGCAAGCAACATTCATGGATAAAAAAAAATAGAATAAAAAAATTAATGACCCACCCCAACCCGCCCCGCAAATAAAGTGGCCCAACCCGCCCCAACTCGTCCCGCGGGTTACCGGTCGACCCGCGCATCACTAGCCACCACCAATTGCGAAGATGTTCTGCATTTAACCAGAGGTGAGTAGTGACAAAGTACATTTAACGTTACTTTGTTATATTTACTTGAGTATTTTTGGGGGAAAATGTCTACTTTTGAGAGTAAATTTGAATGTGGGCACCGTTAGCCTACTTTACTTTATTTCGAGTACATTTCTAATAAATAAATTTACTTTGTTACCTTGGGTGACGCTCCTCTCGATACTTTATTTTAATGCAATACGTGTTGTTAAATGCTTTGTTTATTTCAAGCGCGCTGTATCTTTTTTTTTTCTGGGCATGAGCGATGTTTAATTCACAAATGAATCACTCTTTTCGATTCTGTTCAAAGACTTTGCATGCGCCGGAAGTGATCTCTCGCGCGTGTACGTCACTCGTTGTTTACACAGAGATTTTGGAAGTGTTACCTTTCACTGCGAAGATCTAAACATATTTAGATATACAGGAAATCGCAATGGAAGATGATTTCGAAACATATCTAAATATGTTTAGTGAAAGGTAAAACTTCAGAAGTCTCTGTGTAAACAATGAGTGACGTACACATGCGAGAGATCACTTCCGGCGCATGCGCAGACCGAAGTGCCCTCGCCCTCAGATCAGTTCGACATGGCTGTGATTACACGAAGTAAAAACGATATAAATACTGTTCGTTTTCTCACACAAACCTCTCGTTTCGTGTCTTAGGCCATCAATGTGTACTTACATTTATGAGTCATTAAATCATGTTTAATTTGGACTTCTCTGTGCATGCTCTTTGAGGTGGACCCCCTAAACCTGCTTTATATGACTGACAGACAACGGTTTGACCTAAAAATATCAAAATTGAAAATACTGTGGAAACAAAGACACCTACATCTTGGATGCCCTTGAGGTAAGATAAAACATACCAACAATTTATTTCAAAGTGAACTATCCCTTTAAGGGTGATTTACTCAGACTGCTGTCTTATGTTTTGTACATCAGAGTAAATCCATTGAAACCACCGCCTGTTGTCCCGTGTCTTTCTCAACAACGCTAAACAACGCGGACAAGTGATTTTATAACTGTCCGAGCCGCTGGTTACATATCCTCAATCATGTAAATTTACAGCAGTGAAAAACATTTCTATGGACAAAATGCATCTGAAAAATAATAATGTTGGTAAACACAGGAACCATGATATTTTAATTTTATTATAAATTTGTGTTTACATCTCTCAAATTGATTTTATGTCGCTTAGCTACAGAGAAACTGGTAACCAGGCAACAGACAAGTGACCAATCCTGAGTGGCGATGTCACTACACACATTCTTCCTTCACGGTTCACGGTTAGCCAAGTGTGCTAAGAGTTCAGGGCCGAGAAGGGTTTGTAATTGTGCCGTGTCGCACCAGGCTCAAGTGGAAACACAAGTGGAGCCTTTTTCGAAGGTAGAAAAGCTGCTTTTGTTTCTCAGCACATAAAGATGAACTACTTACTATGATCTCAGACTGTAGTGATAAGGTTTCTCCACTGTATGGATCTTCATGTGACGTTTCAGGCTTTAAAAGAGAAACTCTTTCCACACTGATCACACGTGTGCGGCTACTCTCTGCTGTGGATCTTCTCATGTCTTTTCAGATATGATAAATCACTGTATCTCTTATCACAGTGTGAACACTTGTAAGGTTTTTCTCCAGTGTGGATCCTCTCATGTGTTTTCATAGATGATGAGTGACTGAATCTCTTGTCACAGTGTGAACACTTGTAAGGTTTTTCTCCAGTGTGGATCCTCTCATGTGATTTCAGATTTGTTGACTGACGGAATCTCTTGTCACAGTGTGAACACTTGTAAGGTTTTTCTCCAGTGTGGATCCTCTCATGTGTTTTCAGATCTGATGAGTGACTGAATCTCTTGTCACAGTGTGAACACTTGTAAGGTTTTTCTCCAGTGTGGATCTTCTCATGTTTTTTCAGATCTGCCGACAGATTAAATCTCTTCTCACAGTGTGAACATTCGTTAAGTTTTTCTCCAGTGTGGATCTTCTCATGTATTTTCATAGATGATGAGTGACTGAATCTCTTGTCGCAGTGTGAACACTTGTAAGGTTTTTCTCCGGTGTGAATCCTCTGATGTATTTTCAGATGTGATGAAACACCGAATCTCTTGTCACATTGTGAACACTTGTAAGGTTTTTCTCCAGTGTGGATCCTCTCATGTGTTTTAAGACTTTCTAATCGACTGAATCTCTTGTCACAGTGTGAACACTTGTAAGGTTTTTCTCCAGTGTGGATCTTCTGGTGTTTTTCCAGATTTCCTAATTGACTGAATCTCTTGTCGCAGTGTGAACACTTGTAAGGTTTTTCTCCAGTGTGGATCTTCTCATGTATTTTCATAGATGATGAGTGACTGAATCTCTTGTCACAGTGTGAACACTTGTAAGGTTTTTCTCCAGTGTGAATCCTCTGATGTATTTTCAGATGTGATGAAACACCGAATCTCTTGTCACATTGTGAACACTTGTAAGGTTTTTCTCCAGTGTGGATCATCTCATGTGTTTTAAGACTTCCTAATCGACTGAATCTCTTGTCACAGTGTGAACACTTGTAAGGTTTTTCTCCAGTGTGGATCCACTCATGTGTTTTCAGACGTGATGACCGACTGAATCTCTTGTCACAGTGTGAACACTTGTAAGGTTTTTCTCCAGTGTGGATCATCTCATGTCTTTTCAGACGTGATGACCGACTGAATCTCTTGTCGCAGTGTGAACACTTGTAAGGTTTTTCTCCAGTGTGGATCATCTGGTGTTGTTTTAAATGATCAGCTGTAATAAAAGTCTTCTCACACTCAAAGCACATGTACTCTCTCACACCAGTGTGTATTTTCCCATGTTTATGTAAACTAGACAGCTGTGAAAAACTCTTTCCACACACAGAACATGAATGTGGCTTCTCCTTCGTATGAACTGTCAGGTGTCTCTTCATGACTGATGCCCTGATAAATGTCTTTCCACAGTGATCACATGAGAACGGCTTCTCTCCGGTGTGGAGCATCATGTGAAAATTAAGGGATGATAAATAACTGAAACTCTTCCCACAATGATTACATGTGAACGGCTTCTCTCCAGTGTGGATCCTCATGTGAACATCCATATAGTGTTTGGTTGTGTAACTCTTTCCACACTGAGTGCAGGTGAAAGATTTTTTGGCTCTTCTTTTCTTTAAAAAAGTCTGTTTAGATTTTAAGCGACTCAAAGGTTTTTCTCCAGGTTTGACATGACGTTCCTCCTTCACTTCACTCAGTTCTGAAATGAAAGAAAAACTTCATTTTCAAATTTATTTTCATTTTTGATTATCAAAATAATTCAAAAGAAATATGAAGGGAATAGTTTTTATGCCTTTTTATAAAATAATAATATGCCCCTGACACTTCCCATGAATGAGGAACACTGGTCTTTCAATTATTATAGACAGTCATTGTGTCCACATAACTTTTGTTAATATTTTATTTAGTACATATGTAACCCCTACACCCGGGTCCCACTCGACCCGCTTCGAGCGGGCCTTAAACCCGGGTCTCCGGCGTGAGAGTCGGGCGTTTTAACAAGGGTGCTAAAGACTGCAGCCTCTAGCATCTGTCGCTAGAGCGCCTATTGAGATCAGGGGAGTGAGGTTTACTCGAACAGCAACTACTAGCTGGCCTCTGTTACACTCAATGTAACCCCTCCATCCGGGTCCTACTCGACCCTCTCTGAGCGGGCCTCGAACCTGGGTCTCCGGCATGAGAGTCAGGCGCTCTAACAAGGAGGCTAAAGACTGCAGCCTATAGCGTCTGTCGCTAGAGCGCCTATTGAGATCAGGGGAGTGAGGTTTACTTGCACAGCAACTACTAGCTGGCCTCCGTTACACTCACCCCCCTAAACCTCACTCTCATCCGGGTCACGGCACCAATGTAACCCCTACATCCGGGTCCAACTCAACCCGCTCTGAGCGGGCCTCGAACCCGGGTCTCCAGCACGAGAGTCAAGCGCTCTAACAAGGCATCTGTCGCTAGAGCGCCTATAGACCATTTCACAAGATGTAAACAACACTGGTCCAGAAGCACTTCCTGTTTCAGTTTTTTAACACTACAAAAAAGTTGGGATAAAATACAACCAACAGAACATTTAAAACTGAATCAAAAAGTTAAACAAACATCTTTAAGATGTTTTCTTTACATGTGAAATAAAGAAAACAGTTACAAACTGAAACAGGAAGTGCTTCTGGACCAGTGTTGTTTACATCTTGTGAAATGGTCTATTGAGATCAGGGGAGTGAGGTTTACTTGCACAGCAACTACTAGCTGGCTTCCGTTATACATATAACTGTTAGGCGTTACAGTGTGTTCATCATCTCATGTGTTTCCAGATTTTACGACTGACTGAATCTCTCGTCACAGTAGCCGCTTTCCGACCAAGTAGTTTCAAGAACTTAGTTATAGGAACTGTACACTTCTAAACAGTTCTAAGAACTACTCTCCCCCAAACTCGGTTTTGTTATTTGCATTCGAACTGGCCAAGTGGCCATAGGAACTGGTAGGAGGGGTAAGGGAGTGATACAAGCACAGCGACAGTCTTTATGGTGTCATCACTAGACGTAGCCAGGCCACATACAACAACAGCAAACCAGCATGTAGGAGGTAGGGGTGGGAGGGAAAAAAATATATATATCGATCCATCGATGCATCGCGATTCTCTCTCCAACGATTCTGGATGGATTCTGAGTTTAGTTTTTAACCAGATGTGCGATGACGCTGAGTTTGCTTTAGAAACACCCGTATTCTGCTTGCTTCCAATTCCTCACATAGGCCTACACACACCACTCGAACCTTCCGTAAAATAATCTTTCATAAAGTTCGGAAAGATTACGAGCGAAATACGAGGACATTCACAGGCTTCATTGCACGCGCTGTGAGAGACGCGCACTTTGTTTGATGTTACAATTGAAGTGTGCTGTCTCGCCCGTCGGTTTATTTTCCTTACGAATGCTGTACGAAGTTATCATTTATGTTTGTTTGGAATGCAGTGGACTTATATATTTAAAATATGAACCTCACTATAACGGAAGACTGCTTTCAATTTCAAATCCTCACGCGCGCTTTGTTTGTGTAGACTGCTCGCGCATGCCACTGTGTGTCTCTGTGGTTTAATGTACTAGTGCAAAATTACTTAAAAACAGCCAGTTATGTCTTAAGGGATTAAACGGACAGGACAAACCACATTACTACTTATATCAAAAGAGATGCGTGCGTGAATGCAGCTTAACGCCGGTTTCACACCGCACGCGTTAGCGGAGCATCAGCAGCACAAGAGCAGTGCATATGGTGAGCGGAAGCAGGACTACTTATATCAAAAGAGATGCGTGCGCGAATGCAAGCGTTTAGCTTTCATACTGGCAGCGTTGACGCGTGCGGCGTGTTTACAGACAAAGTATTCCATAATGAGTGAATTATCTTTGCTTTATTTCATTTTCAATTACATTTAATTATATAAATTCAAGTACAACTTAATTATATAAATAAATGAATTAATAAGGGGGGGGGGGGGGGGCGTATATAAAGAACCGTTCTGGAATCGGATCGTGACTCCCAGAATCGGAATCGGATCGGATTGTGAGATGACCAAAGATTCCCACTCCTAGTAGGAGGCTATCGGAATGATCCTGTTCTGCCCTGCCGGGACCTTAATGGCGGAGTACGAACGGTGGCGCTTAAAGACTATGCTTGAGTTCTGTACATAGAAACACAGAAGACGAAGGCTCCAGCGTAATATGATGGACGAAGATAGAAGAGCAGAGCACAGGAGGCAAACAAAATGACAGGTAAGTTTTGCTAGCATTAGCAATTAGCTGGTTGAATGAAGCGCGCTGCAAGTTACGTGTTGACAGTGGGCGTGACTTATAAGTTGAACCAATCAACGTAGATCTAGGGAAAGGGAACTAAAAAAGTCCTTGCTCTAGACTAGATACTGAAAGAGTTACTGTGCGTTCATTCCGGACGCGAATAGCGTGTCAAATTTGCGTCTACCGCGTCTAGTTTGACGATTGACCACTTTGTGTTAATTCGCGCGTCAAGAGTGAAACTGACGGCGACTCTCTCGATGAAGGCTCGTTCAACATAAAAAAGACGGCCGCCAACGGGCTTCGGTTCTGATGCGCGTAAATTTCGCTTCAAACTTTTGTTTTTACGTGCATCAGAATCGAAACCCGTTGGCGGCCATCTTTTTTATGTTGATCGAGCATTCATCGAGAGATTCACCGCACTGTATTTGCTCTGGAGAGCAGAACAGCGACGTGGGGATCATCGTCGCCGTATTTGTGTCCACCGGACCCTTTGGAGGCGGGTTTTCAACTCGGGCAGCAGACGCGAATTTTTGAGTCAAACACGTGAATGCACAAATAACAATAACTAAATAATTCGCGATTAACTCGCCACACGCTCAATTTGCGCCATTCGTGCCGCAGGAATTTTTTAATGCGTAAAACGCGTCTTTGCATTGACTTAACATTCAAATCAATCGTTGTGAACGCACCATTATAGAAACTACGGTCTGAGGTACTAAAAAAAAAAACTCCAACTTAGTCCGGTCGGAACACGAGGAAAAAAAGGGTTATAGGAACTTTTCGGTCGGAAAGCGGCTATTGTGAACACTTGAAAGCCAGACACAAATCCCACGTTTCTGAAGCAAGAACTATTAAATATATTTGATCAATGACACAACAATCTAATATAATTTTAATATAAAAAATACAAAATATTGCCATATTTGGACACCAGCTTTTAGATGTGTATTTAATTTATGTTATTAAGTACTGGTCAGACTAAACTTTTCCTTCCATTGACTTCATACGCATGTGAATGTTAGATATGAGAAAGAACATAATTTTTTTGCAGTAAAATTAGGTATATTGTAAATTTGTACTTTTGCATAGAAAATTCTTCCAAATTGTGAATTATATATCAAATAAAATAGTCAAAATATTTCAATTTAGTTTGACCCGATGTTGACAATCAATATGAAACCTCCATTTACAGACCATTTGTCTAAAAAAAGGAAAACATAAACTTTTGCAGCCATTTCACAGTTGAACTGTTTATCTAAATGTGATGAATGTTTCTAACATGAATGTTCTCCAGCATCATGAAGGAAGGAAGAATAAACACCAACCTCTTTGTTCTTCAGGATCTTCAGTGTGTTTCATTCTGCAGGGTTCTGGATCACTCATGTTCTCACTGTCCTCTTTAATAAACTCAGTCTTTGCAGATTTCAGCTCTTCCTGATGCTCTGATGATCGTCTCCACTTGTAGCTGATGGGAATTTACAGCATTTATTGCTGAACTCCAGTGGGAGGGGCTTCACTGATGATGTAATTGCTATAGGAGGAGCTTATATATTATTACCAATAAAAAAATAATGGTAAGCTCAGTCTGCTGACAGCAATGAAATGAGCTTTAAGTGTCTGTCAATTTACAGGAGATCTGAAGACATCAGCATAATAAATGAGGTGAAAACAGGAACTATTGTCATGAAATAAAGAGTGTTTTCAGCAGATTTGTTAATATTGATGATCCTCGGACTATCAACAAGCCATTCAGGATCATCATTCTAACATTTATTTATAATGTTTTTAGATTATTTTTTTTTTTAGAATTGCCTTCACAGTGACTTAAAATAAAAGTGCAAATAGCTGTACACCACATAGCATCATGATGACGTGATTCATTTCTAACCCATGAGAACCGCTGGTGCCTTTTCCAGATTTAACAGTAGCAATTTCTGAGTTTTCCATTGAGATTATTGGTCAAAATGGTAATGATTGATTTAATTGAAATTAAATTACACCCACTTTAGTGGTTTATCTGAATATGTGCATAATATATTATTCTGCTGCTGTTTAGCTAAATTAACGTACATCCATTGTGCTTGTAAATTTTACTTATGCTGTTAATTTGATTTATTAGTGTTTTTGCGTTGCTATACGCTGTGACTACGACTAAGCTAGGCATGATGGTCATGTCTTTGTTTTAAAGTTGTAAATAAAGCCGTAAATTTTCAGTAAAATTAGGAAAGAGGCGGTATTTGTGTTTTTACCACGTTTAGCTCACGAGTTATTACTCTGGGAAAATTCGAATTTGTTAGTGTCTTTGTTGGTTTGCGCAGCACACACACACAGAGAGAGAACTTATCTTACCTCGTTCCCTGCTGGGTCGATTAGCACGCTGGTTTTCACACACCCAAACATATCCACTCAATTTCCATCGATGAAAGAAATGCACGCATGCGTAAAACAACAGTTATCCAAGTTGTCTTTTGTTTCTTTTTATTTTCGTTTTGTTTGTTACATTCATACTCGCGTGTGTTCAGTGTTTGGCAACGTCTGTGTTGCCGGTCTTTCGTGTTGTGTTATCTCTATCGGCTGGCCAGACCCGAGCGCCACACAGTGGCCTGGATGAATAGTTCCAGTGTCTGTAATATGCACTGACTGTCGCTACAGCCAGAGTGCAGGTGAGGGTTGTAAGTAACGGTATGAGATTTTCACGGTATGATTATCGTCTCAGAAAACGGTTTCATATACGATATTAAATAACTGGTCTGGATTCTGTGGTTGAATACAAAAATGTATTTTTGAAAATGCAATCCGATAAAATGTAACAACTTTTGTTTGTCTACACAAGAGAGGTTTACTAAATTAAAACATGGACAAAAAACTATACACAATAGCATAGGCGTCATTTACGGAGGGGGGACGGGTGGGTGGGTCCCCACCACTTTTTGCCAGGGTCGATTTTGTCCCCACCACTTTTGAAACATCTCGCGGCACAGATGTACCAATACAAATAAAACATCTCCAGTTAACGGCATTCGTTTCATTTGTTTGTTAAATAACAGGCGATCTAGCACTGAAATGTGTTGTCTTTTCTCAAAAACGCGCTTCAATCCGTTGCGGAGATTGCGGAGGACATTGTGCTCATTTCTATTTATGTACATCAGGAAGCTACAGGACATCGTCGTTTAAAAATGACCTACTCGAACGAGAAAAAAAGAATGAATGCGTCATTGCACCCAGCACTTTTGAAAATGCCCTTCCGAATACGTCTCTGTCCTCCAGGCACATTTCAAACCAAACTGATGCCCATGCACAATTATCATATATATGAACATATGATATTCAGCATGTGGTTTCTTCATTAAATCATTTCATGTGATCATCTAACATACAAAATAACATTGCATAGCAAACCTCAAAGCCATAATTAATATGTAGGTTTAGGAAGGATGGTTGTAATACGGGCATATGTGGAGAAGTAGAAACTGTGAGCCATGCTCTAATGGATTGTTTGTCTTCGTACAGAAATAAATCTCATGTACTCAGAGCTGTCGGAAGTTATTTATGAATCATTACTTTGTACTAAGGAGACAACAAAACTTGTTCTCAACTTTTTTGCAGCGCACTGGACTATAAGGATATATAATCTGTTAAATAAATTAATTCTTCTAATGAACTGAGGAGGGCAGCAATACGCCATTGTAGCGTCTAGTCTCAGTCTGGCGCAAATATATCAACAGAAGAAGAACAAGCAGAAGTTGAGGGGAGCATTTCACGGTATTTCTCATATTTACACACCCATCACACACACTTTATACAGTTTGATTAAGTGACAGACTCATTTCTGTATTGTTTTCATCGATCACAGCGATACTTGTGCGTCTTTTCTGGCGTCTTCCTCCTGAAATACACATTTAGTGCAGCAGCAGCGAGCCTGAGGAGAATATGTGGAGTTCATTCAGTCCTGAGCGAGTGTGTGTTCGTTTGTGTGATTGCGTCGATGTTTACCTGTCAAATATCCCGTTTTGGCCGGGAAAATCCCGTATTTTTACCCTTCTTTCCCGCCGTCCTCCCGTATTAGTATTTTCCCGTAAATCTCCCGTATTTTAACCTGCGTTATTAAAAATATTACCCCGGGCGGAGTAAAAAAAAAAAACATTCCCAATCTGAGCTCTAGTCTCGCGATAACTACAAGTACTGTAGGTGACAGTTGTCGCGAGGTCAGATGATGAGTGAACGCGGGGGAAACAAAGAGGAGCAGGGTGCGGGACAAGAAATTTTTTTTTCCCAGGATGGTAGGGGAAGGTCCCGCCTTTTTCGCCTCTGATTGGCTAGAAGGGCTCTCCTCCGATTGGTTATTTGATGTGTGTGTGTGTGTGTGTGTGTGCAGGCTTGGGCAAGTTTAGGAGTAGGGTCCTCCCAGATAGCACAAGGCTGTTTGATCTCCTATTTACATCTGGAAGACGTATTTTGTTTGCTCATCTGCAAGATGTCTATAGGACGTTTCCTGCAGATGTCAAATAGACGTTTAGAAGATGTCTCTAAGATGTAATGATTTAGAATGCACGTTAAACTGACATCTTATAAACGTCTATTTGACATCTGACAGGAAACGTCCTACAGACGTCTTGCAGATGAGCAAACACTCTTTAAAATACGTCTTCCAGATGTAAATAGGACATCAAACACCCTTGTGCTATCTGGGGTTAGTGTGTGTGTGTGTGTGTGTGTGTTTTGGGTAGGTTTAGGTGTGTGTGTGTGTCTGTTGGGTAGGTTTAGGAGTAGTGTGTGTGTTGGGTAGGTTTAGGAGTAGTGTGTGTGTTGGGTAGGTTTAGGTGTGTGTGTGTTGGGTAGGTTTAGGTGTGTGTGTCTGTTGGGTAGGTTTAGGAGTAGTGTGTGTGTTGGGTAGGTTTAGGTGTGTGTGTGTGTGTGTGTGTGTGTTGGGTAGGTTTAGGTGTTTGTGTCTGTTGGGTAGGTTTAGGTGTGTGTGTGTTGGGTAGGTTTAGGAGTAGGGTCAAAACAGCAGACAGCCTGCCATGAACGTGAGATCACGTTTCATGGCCAAATGAAATAACCAATCGGAGGAGAGCCCTTCTAGCCAATTAGAGGCGAAAAAGGCAGGACCTTCACCTATCATCCTGGGGAAAAAATATTGCGTGAGGGACAGTCACGCGGTTTGTAACTGCGACTTTAGCATCTCACACGGGGGAAGGAATGATGTACGAGAAAGGGTGTTTAACATGGTACGAAAGATTGTTACCGAGAATAGGATGACGCTAGACAACTGTTTGCTCTACTCTCATGTAAATTTAACCACAGTGGCCCAGCCCACAAATACACGCCCTTCCAAAACAGGCTTAAAAAATTCAAAGTCTGCAACAAATTTGTACAAAAAAAATTGATTTCTGGAAATCTTAGAATAGTAGCCCCAGACGTAGTGAAGGAAAATGAAATTGAACGGAATGGCGTAGGAGGGCGCAGCCAGGCTAGTTTTGTGCTGCTATTTTGTATTGAAGTCTACGGGAAGTCTAGTTTATTTTCCACTAAAAAGGGGTGGTGACGAAATTGACAGTTAAGTTCCCAGATTTGCTGGATATCTTCCAAAGATTTCTGAATTTAGGTGCAATCACTAAGTTAGTAACACTAAGTTTACTCATGCTAGCATGTGTGGTTTTACAACTAGATCCGTGTTAGGTTGTGCTCTGTTCTTCTCCTCTACGTATATTTCTGTAAATGTATAATATCCTGTAAAAAAAAAAAAAATTACCATTATTTATAATTGGAAGAATTGACATTTATTTATACTCTGTTATCAATTGGTATAAAACCAAACTCAGTAACTGATCTTTTCTTTTTAATTTAGGCAGATCAGCTCCTCTCACTAGTCACATCACCAGTGAAGCCCCTCCCACTACAGTTACATCATCAATGAAGCTCCTCTCACTGCAATTATCCAATAAACACTGGAATATTCCCGTCAGCTCCAAGTGAAGACGATCATCAGAGCATCAGGAAGAGCTGAAATCTGCAAAGACTGAGTTTATTAAAGAGGACAGTGAGAACATGAGTGATCCAGAACCCTGCAGAATGAAACACACTGAAGATCCTGAAGAACAAAGAGGTTGGTGTTTATTCTTCCTTCCTTCATGATGCTGGAGAACATTCATGTTAGAAACATTCAAGTACTTTTTTTAAATGGGTACAGAATTTAATTATTATTTTCATGGTCCGTAAAGGTAGGTTTGAGAAACTCTCATAATGATTGTCAAAATCAGGTCAAATTAAATATTATAGCTGTTTTATTTTACAGTTATATCAAGTTGACCATTTTTGTAGCCATGTTACCAAAATATTGGACATTTCTCAATATAGTTTATATATTTTTTTTTTTGGAAATTAAAATCATTATCATTAATGTGATAACTGTACCGTTGATACAAGTTAGTAGAAACAGTAATATTGCAAAATATTTGTACAATTTAAAATAATTGTTTTCTATTTGGATATATTTTTAAAATGCCATTTATTTCTGTGATGTAAATCATTACTCCAGTCTTCAGTGTCACAGAATCCCTCAGAAATCATCATAACACTGACAAACATTTATGATCGGGGCCATGGGAAGAGGTTTTAAGGTGGGGGTGCTGTAGTGGGAGGTGCACTTTTTTGCGTGTCAGGTGGACACCTCTTAATAACGTTGAAATCACTCGCGCCAGACGCTCCTATCATTCACGTCTGGTGTGAACGCACCATATAAGTCTTATAACAAAGTAAACACACTAATAAGAATCAAACATATTTATAGCAATCTTGTAACCAGACTCTGTTGCACAGAGCAGACACATACAAATAGCCAAGACATAGTTAAAAAGGTCCAAAAAGTTGTCGCCGTTGCGCACAGCGGACAAGAACATATCCACAAAAGCAAATACAAATAAAAAATGAAACCTCTGGTTCCGTAGTTTGTCGAAAGTGGCCCGGAGTTCTGATCACTCTTGCGGTGGTGTCTGGCATTTTCAGGTCCAACCTTGTTGACCATCTCCTCCACGATGTCATCATCACGAAGTGCCGCTATGCGATCTTTTGAGCACATTTGCGCATTCAAGGGCCAAGGGCACCTGCTTTGGAGCTCTGCAGGCCCCGGGCAACAGAGAAGGCCGAAAAATGTTCTCCCTTTTCGGGCTTGGTTCCACAGTCCCGCCAATCTTTGATCTGCTGTCCCCTCTGAGAATCTTCTTGTCTTCTTTCAGCAAATTGACTGTAGTCAGAAGAGTACTGTAAAGCCCCTTTCACACAGCGCATTGATCACGGGAAATTGCCAGAATGTCTTCTGTGTGAACGCAAACATGACCCGGGATTGATACCGGCATCGATGCCGGGTTGGGGACCTAGTAACATTGCCGGAATCAGTCTCGGAACGCGCGCTGTGTGAACAAAAGCCAGGACCAATGCCGTAAGGGGTGTGTCACAGTGATGTCGCTCGTGCCATTGCGCGACTCTGTTGCTCTTAGAAGAAAGTTTGTGTTCGTTATCAACAAAGAAAGGACGAACAAATGTCTGCAAACTGGAACGAAGCAGAGACCAGGAGCTCCTCACTATCCGCGCTGAAGCTGAGATCTTTTACCTGCTTTGTGGAACGGTATGCACGTGTACATGTTTTCGATGCGTACGTTAAACGTCTCATCCTGACGTCATGTGTCTTTCCGGGATCTTTCCGGGTTGTGTGTGAACGCACAATCCCGGGACAAATGCCGGTTCACATTATCCATGTATTTTCCGGAATCTCTGTGTGAAAGGGGCTTAAGAGAAACAGACACGTTTGATGGCTGTGGCACGGATCTCGTCGGGCAAAGGCATAAAATGTTAACCGCAACTGAAAAGCGACTCAAAAAGCTGTTTGCGCTTTGGTGATTCTCCAATTACAGTAGCAACACCCCGTACAAAGTTCAAAGTGTCGGCCACAAGGCTCACTTCACAAGCAACTTGTCCAAGTCCTGTGCGTAGTTGTTACAGTGTACATACATTGACTGAGGGCACAATTCTTTGAGGCGAGCCTGCACTCCTGAAAAGCACCTGGACATATTACTGGCTCTGTTATGTACGAGGCATATATACCTTTCAGGAAGTTGTAGGCTACTATATCTTTAACTGAAAAGTAACAGATGATCGCTTCACTTGAACTGAGGCGCAACAGCGATCTGTTACGTCACTTTTACAAGCGCCAAAATGGTATTTATTGTCTATATTTCGTAATAAAATGGACAGAACCTGAGAGCTGATATTTTCTCTGCTCTTTGTAGTCTGTCGGTGTCAGTGTCCTCTTTGCTCCGTGATCTTTCTCAGTGTAACGGAGGCCAGCTAGTAGTTGCTGTGCGAGTAAACCTCACTCCCCTGATCTCAATAGGCGCTCTAGTGACAGACGCTAGAGGCTGCAGTCTTTAGCCTCCTTGTTAGAGCGCCTGACTCTCATGCCGGAGACCCGGGTTCGAGGCCCACTCAGAGCGGGTCGAGTGGGACCCGGGTGTAGGGGTTACATTGGTGCCGTGACCCGGATGAGAGTGAGGTTTAGGGGGTGAGTGTAACGGAGGCCAGCTAGTAGTTGCTGTGCGAGTAAACCTCACTCCCCTGATCTCAATAGGCGCTCTAGCGACAGACGCTAGAGGCTGCAGTCTTTAGCCTCCTTGTTAGAGCGCCTGACTCTCATGTCGGAGACCCGGGTTCGAGGCCCGCTCGGAGCGGGTCGAGTGGGACCAGGTGTAGGGGTTACATTGGTGCCGTGACCCGGATGAGAGTGAGGTTTAGGGGGTGAGTGTAACGGAGGCCAGCTAGTAGTTGCTGTGCGAATAAACCTCACTCCCCTGATCTCAATAGGTGCTCTTGTGACAGACGCTAGAGGCTGCAGTCTTTAGCCTCCTTGTTAGAGCGCCTGAGTCTCATGCCAGTGACCCGGGTTCGAGGCCCGCTCGGAGTGGGTCGAGTGGGACCTAGGTGTAGGGGTTACATCCGCATGAGAAAATGGATGTGTGGTGTGAAAGCGTGTGAAAAGGGTAGATTTCGTGAGTCTCACGCTGAATGCTATGAATCTTGCTCTCGAGTTAAGCTACTCTTTCACCTTCATAGTTGGCAGCCCTGCTTTTAGAAAGGGGATAATTGTCGGCAGTGTTGCTTCTTCCACTATGCTTCTTCTCTCCATGTGATGAATGTTTATTAGACTAGGGTGCGCACTGCGCGGCATGCACACAGTGCTTATACATGTGGGGATTGTTTACATCAGAGTGCGCATGTGTTTTGCGCATATACGCGGTGGGTTTTTTAAACGTTGATGGAAAATAAGCTAATGCGCATTCTAAAAATCTAAATTCGGATTTATTATTTTTCACAGTATTTTGAACAGCCTGCGATAACAATATTGTGCATATTCATTAACGCGATGTATCGGATTACCGAATACCGGCACATGTCTAGCGCATATGTAAACAATAACAAACCCACAGTTCTAGCTGCATCATACTTAGACAGTTGAAATCCAATCCAATGAAAAAGTATTTTACTTACCAGAATTGAAATGTGTGCTGTATATTGCTAGTTGCTTAGTATCCATCCTGCTGCAATCTAGACGCATCTTTCAGAAATCGAAACGCTTTGATTTCTGAGAGCAAGTTAGTTCCGGGTCTCAGAGAACATCCAACCACCAAACAACATGCTCCTCATTTTAATTTTGACGTTTTATTTCGCATGAATAAGAAAATGGCCGCACAATTGCCGTAAATAAAGTGCCTCCCGCCGTTGTTTCTAATGTGCGCTGTAACTGACCGGAAACGAATGAGGGCCGAACACGTCACTTCCTTACATCCACTAATAGCCGTTGAAATGGTCTATGATAATAATTGAAAGATCAATGTACTTCATGCAATTAATTTATAAAAACACACCAGAATTATGTTAATATTTTATAGCGTGTTTACTAGTACTTTCTGCTATTACATCAGGGCTCACTTTCATATTTCTCTCTTTGATTTATTTTAATGTACTGAAAATGAAATTAAACCCTTTTCTTTCATTTCAGACCTGATGGAAGTGAAGGAGGAGAATGAAGAACTGAGTGTAATGGAGGAGAGAGAAGAACTGAGAGAAGTGAAGGAGGAGAATGAAGAACTGAGTGTAATGAAGGAGGAGAGAGAAGAACTGAGAGAAGTGAAGGAGGAGAGAGAAGAACTGAGAGAAGTGAAGGAGGAGAGAGAAGAACTGAGAGAAGTGAAGGAGGAGAGAGAAGAACTGAGAGAAGTGAAGGAGGAGAGAGAAGAACTGAGTGAAGTGGAGGAGGAGAGAGAAGAACTGAGTGAAGTGGAGGAGGAGAGAGAAGAACTGAGAGAAATGAAGGAGGAGAGAGAAGAACTGAGTGAAGTGGAGGAGGAGAGAGAAGAACTGAGAGAAATGAAGGAGGAGAGAGAAGAACTGAGAGAAGTGAAGGAGGAACATCATGTCCAACCTGGAGAAAAACCTTTGAGTCGCTCAAAGACTAAACATACATTTTTAAAGAAAAGAAGAGCCAAGAAATCTTTCACCTGCACTCAGTGTGGAAAGAGTTTCAGAAACACACAAAGTCTTGAGATTCACAAGATGATCCACACCGGAGAGAAACCACACACATGTGACCAATGTGGAAAGAGCTTCAGACAAATACCAAATCTTAAGCAACACATGATGATCCACACCGGAGAGAAGCCGCATGAATGTGATCAATGTGGGACAAGCTTCACAGCAAAAGTTCCTCTTCAGGAACACATGAGGATCCACACCGGAGAGAAACCATACACATGTGGTCAGTGCGGGAAGAGTTTCAGGCAATCATCATCCCTTAATAGACACTTGAGAATCCACACTGGAGAAAAGCCACATATGTGTGGTCAGTGTGGGAACAGTTTCACATACAAGCATAATCTTCATGCTCACATGAGACTTCACACTGGAGAGAAGCCGTTCTCATGTGATCAATGCGGCTACAAATTTCATGCATCAACAAACCTGAAGCAACACCTGAGAGTTCATATAAAGGAGGAGAAGCCACATGTATGTTCTGTGTGTGGAAAGAGTTTTTCATGGCTGTCATATTTACATAAACATCAGAAATTACACACTGGTGTGAGAGAGTACATGTGCTTTGAGTGTGAGAAGACTTTTACTACAGCAAATGGTTTAAAACAACACCAGAGAATTCACACTGGAGAAAAACCTTACAAGTGTTCATACTGCGACAAGAGATTCAGTCAGTCATCAACTCTGAAAACACATAAGATGATCCACACTGGAGAAAAACCTTACAAGTGTTCACACTGCGACATGGGATTCAATCAGTTAGCATCTCTGAAAACACATAAGAGGATCCACACTGGTGAGTAACCAACTCTCAAACCAACTCTTAGCCATCACACAAGAGTCCACAATGGGAGTCAGATGTGAATCACAGCATTATTCGTGACGTTTTTTGATCAATTTTCAAAGCAGTACCCACCCGCCATCCGCTGACTGTTTTAAGGTGTAAAGGCCTGTTCACATCAGGACGAATTTCGCGCGTTATTCGCCGACGTTTAACGAAACAAAGGGTGCCAATGTGCAACATGACATCATGACTTTTGCGTAAATATACACGCCACTTTCGAGTCAGGTGGCTTGTTATCTCTACGCATTTTGAGCTATCCGCGTGTATGCCTATATGTCTACGCCATTAACGTCCGCGTCATTCCGCGTGTCCGAACATGCAGTCAAATCTCCAGTCATAAATGCCATTAACCCCAGTGACGGTTAAGTTTAGGGATGGGGTTGAGGTAAGTCATATCTTTTTCTTTCCTAGGATGGTAAGGGAACAGTCATAAATGCCATTAACTCCAGTGACGGTTAGGTTTAGGGACGGGGTTGAGGTAAGTCATATATTTATATAACGTTAAGTCAACGGCGTTCATAAACACGCTAAAAGGCGATTATGCGTCTTGCTAGCACGCCAAAAATGGAAATACGAATTGGCATGGCATACACACGCTACTTCATGAGATCAGTCTGCAATGTGAGTGTGCACACCGACGCGAAAAACACCACGCGTAAAAGCGTAATTAAAAAAAAAAGAAAAACGCCTCAGGTTTGTTTTTTTAGTTTGACGCGCCGCGTTAAAACTATCCAACCAATAAGATTGGCGCTTTTGCTCACGTGTTTGGAGCTTCTAAAGTTACAGTAAAAAACAACTTGGGGGCGCTCAAACATAAAACGGTCTTGCCGAGCACACATATGAAATGGCGAAGAAGAGATACGCCAAGTAGCGTCGCCGTCTACACAGCCAGGAAGAAATAAGACGCGGAAGATGCAAGCCAAGATGAACGTAGAGCTGCTGTTCTAAGAACTATATGACAAACGCGACAGGGACTACAAACAGCTTGAGAAAAGAAAACCGATATGGAGTGGTATTGCAGAGCAAATTGGTGCCATCTAATGTCAGGGAATGAATTTGCATGTTCACTCGGCTCATCGTCAGCGAAAATCGCTTGGGTGTGAACACAAAAAACCGTGTTGAAAAACGCTGACGAATAGCGCGTGCTGATATCCGTCCCGGTGTGTACGGTCTTTAAGGGCGATGCAAGGCGCTGCTGACACAAGCCGCTAGGCTAGAAAGCTCTTGTCTGCTCTAGCAGACTGATCTCATGAAGTAGCGTGTGTATGACACGCCATTTCGTATTTCCATTTTTGGCGTGCTATCAAGACGCATAATCGCTTTTCACCGTGTTTATGAACGCCGTTGACTTAACGTTATATAAATATATGACTTACCTCAACCCCGTCCCTAAACCTAACCGTCACTGGGGTTAATGGCATTTATGACTGTTCCCTTACCATCCTAGGAAAGAAAAAGATATGACTTACCTCAACCCCATCCCTAAACTTAACCGTCACTGGGGTTAATGGCATTTATGACTGGAGATTTGACGGCGTGTTCAGACACGTGGAATGACGCGGACGTTAATGGCGTAGATATACACACATACACGCAGATAGCTCAAAATGCGTAGAGATAATGTTTACGCAAAAGTCATGATGTCATGTTGGCTCTAGAAAGGATACTGATTCAATGCAGTAAATATATATTTACTAGTAGTATACTAGTAGTATTAGCCTATTGGTAGCCTATTGGTACCCTACTAGTATAGCCTATTGGCTATGTTGTATGTATCCCCAGAATATCAGCAGTGAACTCTGTCTCCAAACGCCGCAAAAGGACAAAAATAGTTGGCAAATCTTACCTTACCAGGCCATTGTACAATTTTATCAGACTGATCTCATGAAGTAGCGTGTGTGACATGCCAATTCGTATTTCCATTTTTGGCGTGCTATCAAGACGCATAATCGCTTTTCAGGGTGTTAATGAACGCCGTTGACTTAACGTTATATAAATATATGACTTACCTCAACCCCGTCCCTAAACCTAACCATCACTGGGGTTAAAGGGTTGGTTCACCCAAAAATGAAAATTAAGTCATTAATTACTCACCCCCATGCTGTACCAACCCCGTAAGACCTTCGTTCATCTTCGGAACACAAATAAAGATATTTTTGATTGAATCTGAGGGCTGGATCACTCTTCCATAGACAGCCTGAGGGACTGCCTCTTGACGGCCCAGAAAGTCATTAAAAGAAAAGGTTTAAATATTCCATGTGCCTACAGTGGCTCAACTATAACTTTATCAAGCGACGAGACTACTTTTTGTGCGAAAAAAAAAACGTAAATAACGACTTTATTCGACTTTCCATTACTTCCTTATGGGCGCATGCGCGAGAACTGAGATGAGACCGTTCTTCTTCGTCTACTTCTTGTTACCGGCTGCTCACCGCTTAGGAGTTTTACCGCCCCCTACCGTATAAGATGACGTACTGATATAGCCGGAGGCGCAAAACGTTCTGTTTACAAGCAGTACATCATCTTATACGGTAGGGGGCGGTAAAACTCCTAAGCGGTGAGCAGCCGGTAACAAGAAGTAGACGAAGAAGAACGGTCTCATCTCAGTTCTCGCGCATGCGCCCATAAGGAAGTAATGGAAAGTCGAATAAAGTCGTTATTTACGTTTTTTTTTTCGCACAAAAAGTAGTCTCGTCGCTTGATAAAGTTATAGTTGAGCCACTGTAGGCACATGGAATATTTAAACCTTTTCTTTTAATGACTTTCTGGGCCGTCAAGAGGCAGTCCCTCAGGCTGTCTATGGAAGAGTGATCCAGCCCTCAGATTCAATCAAAAATATCTTTATTTGTGTTCCGAAGATGAACGAAGGTCTTACGGGGTTGGTACAGCATGGGGGTGAGTAATTAATGACTTAATTTTCATTTTTGGGTGAACTAACCCTTTAATGGCATTTATGACTGTTCCCTTACCATCCTAGGAAAGATAAACATAGCTCCCCAGATGTAGATTTACATTTTGCTTCGTTTCGCTCGGACATTTGACGGCGTGTACAGACACGCGGAATCACGCGGACATTAATGGCGTAGACATACACGCACACACGCGGATAGCTCAAAATGCATAGAGATAACACGCTACTTGACTCGAAATTGGCGTGTATGTTTACGCAAAAGTCATGATGTCATGTCGATTTTGTCATTGTAAAAAAACGCAATTTCAATATGCTGCTATTTAGCTTACAACTAATTAATGCCTCTTGCACTTCATTTATTTTTTTGCACAAAGAAAGCAAGCTTGAATAAAATAAATCATTCGCATTATTGGCTAATTAACTATACGCACTGTCATGTCAGGGTGACGACTAGGACGAGCCTGTTCTGAAGACTCGCGTTATTTTTTTAATGCATGGGAAGAGAGCGCGTATATTTCAGGCTGACAATGCAATTCATTTTATACCAGCAGGCCTAACAATCATTTGATTGGTTCAACCGCCTGAATTGAATAAAAATATAATTTTACCGGAGACCGCGCCTAGGCCATAAGGTGAAGACGTTTTACGTTTAATCCCGTTCCCATATATGGGGCACTAAATTGTTTTAATTCTAATAAAATTATCTATTGTTTCTGGACGAGAAAATAAAAGTTCTCCAGGTGTAATCCTGCAGTTTATTTTTTATTACTGTTTAAAGTCGGCAATAGTTCTTTCCTTGCGCAATCATATTTTGATCATCAGTGATGAGGCTTCGCGGAAGAATCATCACGTGCTTCCCGCTAGACCAATTAGGTGGCTGCTTTTTTGGGATGACAGGTAAACATTAGTCTAATATGTCTGCGCCCCTGTTATCATTGTCGAGTAGTGAAGACGAGGAAATTTCACCCAGACCTCCTTCAAAAGTCCGTAAAAAACATTTTAAACAATGTTATATGCATCTCACCTCCATAAAGAAAGAGGAAATAAAGGATTTTACACGCACACGGTGGGATACATACAGAAACTGCGTCAAACGGTGGCTTGGTCTGCACGGTGAGAATCAAACAATTGCTGAAACATACAAACATTATCTAGAAATAGAGTTTGACAATGTTCCCGAAGACGCTGGGTTTCACTCTACTTGCTACAGGCGTTTCATTGATAAAAAGCGCTTGGATGCGGCCGAGAAACGCGCTACACAGCGTGTCGAGGCTCAAGATCATGGCCAGTCTGTGGCATCGGGTAGTAGTAACGTTAGTATCGCTACAGTTCAATGTCCAACAAAGACACTTAGGTCCAAGACTGGCCTGCCAGTAGCTTGTGCTGGTCCTGTGCTTCCTGCCTTGTGCATAATTTGCAAGAAAACGGAGAAGTACATTACTGTGGGAGGCAAACGACAGAAGGACCATCTTTCACAGGCAGAAACATTGTCAGCAGGTAGGTAAAAACAAAACGCAAACAAACTAACACATACACACGTTTGAAGTTTTATTCCCTTATTCTGGGTACCATGGCTAACTTTCAATTACAATGACTTAATTTATGTAAAGTTTATTTTACTATCAGAGACATATTTGCATGTTTCTCCATACAGCTACAGCCAGAAAACTCAATGATGTTTAACTATTAACATAGTTTTTTATTAGTTTTCATTTATTTGTTTACAGGCCAGTTGCTGAAAGCTGCTGAGATGAAGGAAGACACTAGCATTCTTGTGCATATTCGTGACAAAGACTGTGTGTCTCTGGAGGTGCGATACCACAAGTCCTGTTATAGACAGTACACCAGGTTCTTGACAAAGTCTAGTGCATCAGTTACTGGGACCTCAGAAGAACAGTGAGTTTTTAATATTTTATTTTATTAAATGTTTCCCTCACATTTGCACATTTTAAAAGTAAAGCATTGACCATAAATGCTTATATTATATTGATCATTAAAGTACATTTTATCTTATCTTATCTATATTGTCGATTTGTCTGTA